GTGTGTTTTACTAGGGAGGCATGCTGTTTTGTATTGGTCTGCTATGCAGAGCAATACAAAGCAGCATGCTGGAGCTGACAGGGGAGAGATCTGTAGTGTTTACATACAGACCTCTTCCCCGTCAGTGATACTTGGCGATTGACAGCTGTAGCCACTAATGGCGGCGCAACAGGGCGCTTGCTTGCCCCCTACTAAGAAACACAAAATCACATATATATATACGTGATTTTGCACAGCCCTGCCGACCTATAGCAGTATTTGTGCTATAGGATGACAGGGAAGCAGTTAACCACCCGCCAACTACTCACAGTAAATATATGGACAGAAGGTTCCAACGCAGTCATGTATCTGTACATGATTGGCCTAGTTCAGGTTTTGGGGCGTACATGCCCCCTGCCGGTCCATCCTGTGACTGGACACAGCATAAGTTTGACATCTGATTTCAGTCAAAGGCTTCCGGTCTCCAATCACTCACTTCTGTGTTTACAGGCATCACTAAATGGCAGACCGAGCCATTATCCCATCCGGATCCATGGTAGCGCCATTTAGGAGCCACTTCTACCTCCCAGCCTCTGCCGTTATCATTCTCAAGACATTGCGGAGTACACATGTACAGAACAAAAAAATTAGTTTAGTTTCGTTATTTAAATAAGTTCATTTGTTTATTTAATTTCTTTTATTCATTTTCGGTATTTTCGTTTAGTTTTATTTCTTTGTTTTTGAACTTGACCAGATTGAAAAGTATCAACTCAGTATTCGATTTTATGCTATTCGAAATTCGAATTTCGGAAGACAGTTATATTCTTTATATTTTATTCTATTCTACTGTTTTTCTTTCTATCCTATTCTTTTCTATTTTAATCTATTTTTATTTGTATTCAAATTTAATCTATTTTAAATTTGAATTTCGGTCAAATTTCATTTTTATTTTTTGGATTCGTTTAAATTCATTACTATTGGAATTCGGAAATCTAAATAACGAAAAATTTGGCCGAACTTTGATTTGGAACAATACGAACCACACATACTGTATCTAGGGCTGGAGCTGCCAGCGGTTAACTTTTCATATTAAATAAATAAATAAATTCGGTATCCACAAATAAATATATATATAATAAAAAATATTAATTATAATACACTTAATTATAACGCACTGTGTAAATCCAACAAAGTCCTGCAAAAAATCAAAAAAAGTCCCACTTTCACCCCTGAAAGTGAATTAAATTAAAAAACCTTTTTTGTGCCAGTCAATGTTTGTAATTCAAATTACAGTCCACAAAAATTACTCTTCCGTGTCCAACTTGCACCTCCACGTAAATCCAAAAAAAGTGTGTACCTCAAACAAAATGAAAAAAACTAAATAGTGCATAGTACTTTACCTTCAATAACAGCTGGTATATACTGTACCAAACAATAAGTATATATACTTAACAAAAATTAAGACAAAAATCAAATCGTGAGCAACACGTGAATAGTGAAATCACTCCGTGTACACCATAAATAAATAAATGTGAACAATCAGTGTACACTCATAAACAGCTGTTATTGAAGGTAATGCACTATTTAGTTTTTTCATTTGTTTGAGGTACACACTTTATTTGGATATACGTGGAGGTGCAAGTTGGACACGGAAGAGTAATTTTTGTGGACTTTAATTTGAATTACAAACATTGACTGGCACAAAAAAGGTTTTTTAATTTAACTTTTCATATTAATCAGCAAGTGATTGGCTGCTAGGACTGCCCTGTCTCCTAGCAACGAATTAGCTGCTGGAAAGTTAACTCTTGCCGCTCCCTCCCTCAATCCAGCGCTGAGCTGTGCCTCCCGCTCACCACGCTGTCACGAAGGGGGAGCAGAGGACACTACTGGAGGGGAGTGTGATGTGAAGGAGGGCAGTGCTGGGGGAGGCTGACTGGATGTCAAGAGGGAAGAGTACACCACTGGGGGGGGGAGTACGGAGGGAGGGGGTTGATGTAAAGGGAGAGTGGGTGATGTGTGGGCGGGCAGTGCTGTGGGGGTGTGTGAAGGGGTCAGGTGATGTGAAGGGGGGCAGTGCTGTGGGGGTGTGTGAAGGGGTCAGGTGATGTGAAGGGGGGCAGTGCTGTGGGGGTGTGTGAAGGGGTCAGGTGATGTGAAGGGGGGCAGTGCTGTGAGGGGGTAAGCGGCAGAGCTTGGGGGGATGTGAAGGATGTGAAGAGTGCATAGCACACTACTGTGTATGTGTGTGTGGGAGGATTTGTGATGTGAAGGGGCAGTGCTGTGTGGGGGGGGGTTGGGGGGGTTCTGAAGAGGGGACAGTTGATGTGAAGGGGGGTGGTGCTTTGTGTGTGGAGGGGAGATGTGAAGGGGCAGAAGACAGTACTGTGGGGGGGGGGTGATGATTTGAAAGGGGGCTGAGAACACTGCTGTAAATAAAGGGGGTGTGTTATGTGATACAAAGGGGGTCTGAGAACACTACTCTGAATGGAAAATTGTGATATGAAGTGGGGGACTGATGTGTGGGGAACTGAGGACACTGATCTAAGAACAGGATTGTGATATAAGGGGGGGCTATGATGGGAAGGATTTGAGTCTTTGCACAAACATGCGTTTCGGACCTCTGCTGGAAGAAGATTTTACTGATCAGACCTCTGTAAATTTGAAATCAATACCCTGCTGTACAGAGAAGAGCGAGACGGCTTTTTTTTCGCAGGGAGAATAGTAAAGTAAAAGCACACATTACACATTGTTAGGCACACAATTAGCCTCTTGATTTTCCCTAGATGTTAACCCCTTCCCAGCCAGTGTTATTAGTACAGTGACAGTGTATAATATTATAATGTTACTAAAGATGTCAGTTAGTGTGCCTCCCAGCCAACATCAGCTAGCGCCAGATTGCCCTCCACACTATCACAGTCCCAATATAAGTTGCTGATCGCCATTACCAGTATAGCGTCATATCTGCATAAATTCCAGTATATATACAGTATCTCACAGAAGAGAGTACACCCCTCGCATTTTTAAAAATATTTTATTATATCTTTTCATGTGACAACAGTGACAAAATTACATTACAACACTCACAAAATGACACTTTGCTACAATGTAACGTAGTGAGTGTACAGCTTGTATAACAGTGTAAATTTGCTGTCCCTTCAAAATAACTCAACACATAGCCATTAATGTCTAAACCGCTGGCAGCAAAAGTGAGTATACCCTAAGTGAAAATGTCCAAATTGGGCCCAATTAGCTATTTTCCCTCCCCGATGTCATGTGACTCGTTAGTGTACAAGGTCTCAGGTGTGAATGGGGAGCAGGTGTGTTAAAATTTGGTGTTATCGCTCTCACTCTCTCATATTGGTCACTGGAAGTTCAACATGGCACCTCATGGCAAAGAACTCTCTGAGGATCTGAAAAAAAGAATTGTTGCTCTACATAAAGATAGCCTAGGCTATAAGAAGATTGCAAGACCCTGAAACTGAGCTGCAGTACGGTGGCCAAGACCATACAGCAGTTTAACAGGACAGGTTCCACTCAGAACAGGCCTCATCATGGTCAACCAAAGAAGTTGAGTGCACGTGCTCAGCGTCATATCCAGAGGTTGTCTTTGGAAAATAGACGTATAAGTGCTGCAGAGGTTGAAGGGGTGAGGGGTCAACCTGTCAGTGCTCAGACCATACGCCATACACTGCATCAAATTGGTCTGTATGGCTGCCATCGCAGAAGGAAGCCTCTTCTAAAGATGATGCACAAGAAAACCCGCAAACAGTTTGCTGAAGACAAGCAGACTAAGGACATGGATTACTGGAACCATGTCCTGTGGTCTGATAAGACCAAGATAAACTGTCAGGGCTCCCGAGTGTGACCAGAGGTATGTGACTGACGCAGGGAAACGCAGACTTCAGATATGTTATAAACAATATAATTTATTAACACTAACAATACAAACATAAACACAGTGCAATACTAAAACATAACACAGTGCAAACAAACCAAACCAACCACCCACAGATAACAGTACATACAATGCAAGCGTCGTCAGGCAGGCCGGGTCAATATCAATCGGGCAGGTAGGTACAGGGGGAACAAGCGGAGAATGGTCGGGGTCACAGGCCAGGTTCAGCAGGTAGCGGGCAGCGTGGTACAGAGGGTCAGGCAGAGGGATGGTCAGGGTCACAAGCCAGGGATCAGAACAGGAGAAGTCAGCAGAGGTCAGAATCAAGCAGGGTCAGCAACAAGACAGGAACAGGAACGCAGGTTTACAAGATACAGGGCCCAGGAAAAACACACACCAAAGCAGAGTCTGCAGGTCTGGCCATCCCTTAAATACACCAGTATAATTAGTTCCAGGTGTTTGACTGGCTGCAAGGTTGAGTCTCTGATTGCTGGGAGCACCCGCTGGCCAGCCCTGGTACTGCAGCTCATAAGGCAGGTGAGTCCCACTATTGCTGGCCAGTCCATTCCTGACAGTACCCCCCCTCAAGGAGCGGCCTCAGGAGGCGGAGCGACAGGTCTCGGGCCCCCAGGCAGAGCGGCGGGCGCCGGACCCCCAGGCGGAGCGACAGGTCTCGGGCCCCCAGGCGGAGCGGCGGGCGCCGGACCCCCAGGCAGAGCGACAGGTCTCAGGCCCCCAGGCGGAGCGACTGGTCTCAGGCCCCCAGGCGGAGCGACAGGTCTCAGGCCCCCAGGCGGAGCGGCGGGCGCCGGTCCCCCAGGCGGAGCGACAGGTCTCGGGCCCCCAGGCGGAACAGCGGGCACCGAGTCGTCTGGCAAGACTGCGGGCACCGAGTCGTCTGGCAAGACTGCGGGCACCGAGTCGTCTGGCAAGACAGCGGGCATCGAGTCAACTGGCGGAACAGCGGGCATCGAGTCAACTGGCGGAACAGTGGGCACCGAGTCGTCTGGCAAGACTGCGGGCACCGAGTCGTCTGGCAAGACTGCGGGCACCGAGTCGTCTGGCGGAACAGCGGGCATCGAGCCAACTGGCGGAACAGCGGGCACCGAGTCGTCTGGCAAGACTGCGGGCACTGAGTCGTCTGGCAAGACTGCGGGCACCGAGTCGTCTGGCAAGACTGCGGGCACCGAGTCGTCTGGCGGAACAGCGGGCATCGAGTCAACTGGCGGAACAGCGGGCACCGAGTCGTCTGGCAAGACTGCGGGCACCGAGTCATCTGGCAAGACTGCGGGCACCGAGTCGTCTGGCATTGGATCGTCTGGCTCGACAGCGGGCATCGGGCACTGGGTCACCAGGCATCAGGTCATTTGGCTCGCCAGCGGGCACCGTGTCATCTGGCAAGGCAGTGGGCACCGAGTCACCAGGTACGACAGCGGGCTCTGAGTCAATTGGCACGACAGCGGGCACCGGATCAGGTACCGGATCATCTGGATCAACAGCGGGCATCGAGTCAATGGGCCTAATAGGATCATCAGGCTGGATCAGTTCATTATGCTGGGTAGAGGCATCCGGCTGAGTAGAGGCTTCCGGCTGAGTAGAGGCTTCCGGCTGAGTAGAGGCTTCCGGCTGAGTAGAGGCTTCAGGCTGAAGAGAGGCATCAGGCTGAACCACGGAAGGCAGGTTCTCAGACGGCAGGCTCACCGGTTTGGATACTGGCAGGATGGTACTGGTTGGAAAGAATTTTCGCTTTTTTCTGGTTTTAACTACTGGAGCACTGCAAGTAAACGCAGGTCTGCAAACGAATGGAGCAGCTGGAGACAGAGAAGAGCTGGAGGATGGAACAGAGGAGGGAGCAGTTGCTACAGAGGGCTTTTTTACAGGGTTAAAGGCAGGATAGGTGCAGCGAGTGGGAACAGGGTACTGACATGCGGTAGATAGCAGGGCAGGAGGAGCTGTTGGGAATGCAGGAATAGAGCTCTGAGGAAATAGATTAGAAGCAGGACTGGGTTTTTGTAAGCTGACTGAGGCTGGGTGCAACAAATCTGTCCATGTCTGCAGTATGGGTTGAACAAAGCTGAGCTTACACAAAGCCTGTCTGACCAAAGACTGCACTGCGCTTATACAATCTCTTAGTGTCTGTGGTGAACATGCAGCATAATGCTCCAAGAAGCAATCCACATCATCCTCTAATAACCATACCAGGGACTCTACCTGGTCAGCACTAAATGGTGGCAAAAATTCATCCCTGCATTCGGGGGTACCAGATGAAACCAACTCCGCACAAATCTGAATCAATGGCTGCACCTCAGAGAATTCTGTGCCCTGATCTACTAGAACATGAGCAAGCCGTATACATTCTAGTAGTTGATCCCGGGGATACTCCTTCAGAGTTTGATAAGCATACTCTCTGTCATCAAACACTAGCAGATATAAATACACAACCTCATCAAGATCCATTCTTCCCAGCAACAAGCCAAGATGGCTTCCCTGTGCAGCCACTTCTGGTCAGGATTGGCCTTGGTGTAATGTCAGGGCTCCCGAGTGTGACCAGAGGTATGTGACTGACGCAGGGAAACGCATACTTCAGATATGTTATAAACAATATAATTTATTAACACTAACAATACAAACATAAACACAGTGCAATACTAAAACATAACACAGTGCAAACAAACCAAACCAACCACCCACAGATAACAGTACATACAATGCAAGCGTCGTCAGGCAGGCCGGGTCAATATCAATCGGGCAGGTAGGTACAGGGGGAGCAAGCGAAGAATGGTCGGGGTCACAGGCCAGGTTCAGCAGGTAGCGGGCAGCGTGGTACAGAGGGTCAGGCAGAGGGATGGTCAGGGTCACAAGCCAGGGATCAGAACAGGAGAAGTCAGCAGAGGTCAGAATCAAGCAGGGTCAGCAACAAGACAGGAACGCAGGTTTACAAGATACAGGGCCCAGGAAAAACACACACCAAGGCAGAGTCTGCAGGTCTGGCCATCCCTTAAATACACCAGTATAATTAGTTCCAGGTGTTTGACTGGCTGCAAGGTTGAGTCTTTGATTGCTGGGAGCACCCGCTGGCCAGCCCTGGTACTGCAGCTCATAAGGCAGGTGAGTCCCACTATTGCTGGCCAGTCCATTCCTGACATAAACATATTTGTTTCAGATGGTGTCAAGTGTGTGTGGCGGCAACCAGGTGAGGAGTACAAAGACTTGCCTACAGTCAAGCATGGTGGTGGGAGTGTCATGGTCTGGGGCTGCACGAGTGCTGTCGGCACTGTGGAGCTACAGTTCATTGAGGGAACCATGAATGCCAACATGTACTGTGACATACTGAAGCAGAGCATGATCCCCTCCCTTCGGAGAGTGGGCCGCAGGGCAGTATCCCAACATGATAACAACCCCAAACACACCTCCAAGATGAACACTGCCTTGCTAAAGAAGCTGAGGGTAAAGGTGATGGACTGGCCAAGCACGTCTCCAGACCTAAACCCTATTGAGCATCTGTGGGACATCCTCAAATAGAAGGTGGAGGAGTGCAAGGTCTCTAACATCCATTAGCTCCGTGATATCGTCATGGAGGAGTGGAAGAGGACTCCAGTGGCAACCTGTGAAGCTCTGGTGAACTTCATTCCCAAGAGTTTTAAGGCAGTGCTGGAAAATAATGCGGCCCACACAAAATATTGACACTTTGGGCCCAATTTGGACATTTTCACTTAGGGGTGTAGTCACTTTTGTTGCCAGACAATTAATGGCTGTGTGTTGAATTATTTTGAGTCGACAGCAAATTTACACTGTTATACAAGCTGTACATTCACTACTTTACATTGTAGCAAAGTGTCATTTCTTCAGTGTTGTCGCATGAAAAGATATAATAAAATATTTACAAAAATGTGAAGGGTGTACTCACTTCTGTGAGAGACTGTATATATACACACCATAGATTGTAGGTGCTATAACATTCACACAAACCAATTAATATACACTTCTTGGGATTTATATATTTTTTTTTTTTTTTACCAAAGTAGTGTAGCAGAATACATTTTGGCCTAAATTTATGAAGAAATTTGATTTGTTTTTTATTGAATATTATAACAGAAACAGAAAGGTCTGTCATTATCTATTGAATTACTGGAGTTGTATTTAGCTAGGAGCTAACCAAGATTTGTGTGACACAATATAAACACTTGAGTATTGCTTCAAAGTACAGAGAGCTTGCAGAGGAGGAGGACACTGTGACAAGGATGTCCACTTAGAGCGGGTGTCGGCAACCCGCGGCTCTTTTTCACCTTGGCTGCGGCTCCGGAGCACACTGCCCACCAGGTGACAGGCAATAGAGCAGCAATGGGCAAACTACGGCCCGGCGGACCTTTTAATCCGGCCCGCGGAGCTAGGCTCCCGCTAGGCTCCTCTCACAGTCCGCCCTGAAGACCGGTGTAGCATGAAAATCTGTCTCCTATGAGGATCTGTTCCCCTCGACGTATCTGCGCATGTGCCGGAGATCGCCGATCGGCTGCTAATGCCTGAAACTGGCACATGCGCAGATACGTCTAGGGGGACAGATCCTCATAGGAGACAGATTTTCATGCTACACCGGAACGGCGCGGGAACACGGCGAGAGGAACGCGCGAAGCAAAGGTAAGTGAATTGACACAGGGGGGACTTGGGGATTTAATATGGGGGATGAATTAATATGGGGGATGAATTACTATATGGGGGATGAATTACTATGGGGATGAATTACTATATGGGGGATGAATTACTATGGGGGATTAATTACTATATGGGGGATGAATTACTATATGGGGGATTAATTACTATGGGGGATGAATTACTATGGGGGATGAATTACTATATGGGGGATGAATTACTATATGGGGGATGAATTACTATGGGGGATGAATTACTATAGGGGGGATGAATTACTATATGGGGGATGAATTACTATATGGGGGATGAATTACTGGGGGGGATGAATTACTATATGGGGGATGAATTACTATGGGGGATGAATTACTATATGGGGGATGTATTTTCAGTTTTAAAAATGTGGCTCTCAAAATAAATTTCAATCGTGGTTTTGGCGAGATTTGGCTCAGTTGAAAAAAAAAGGTTGCCCACCACTGACCTAAGGCTATGATTGTGATTATGACGATACACTGTGGCCCTGATTAACCCTTTGCTTACTGGGCCCTTAAACCCCCTTCATGACCAGAGCGCTTTTTGCAATATATGCAGTGTCGGATTTGTTTTAAATGTTGCAATGGTTTTGCGGCTCCCAGTATTTTTTTCCCTCTCGGAAACGGGTCCAAGTTTCTCTTTATGTCTTAAAGGTTGCAGACCCCTGACTTAGAGGAATTGTTTCGGGAAGGGGGGGAATAAGAGGATATATGCTGGGGCACTTTGAGGGGAAAGCGTACCTCCCAATTGTCCCAGATCCAGCAAGACTATTCCGAGATTTAAACTAAAGCCCAGCATACCGCAAACCTGGGATAAATCCCTGAGTCCAGTGCCGGATCAGGTTCCAGCACTTTGCTCCACGAATTGGGCAGGCAGCAGGAAAGCCTGCGCTGATAGCACGGGCTTTCCTTTCCTTCAGCTGCTGCAGAATGAGGGAGCGAGGCTGCTGAGTGATGAAGTGCGGGCCAGTGATTGTGATCTCTACCCTCAGCAATAACTCCCCTCTCCACCCTCAATTACCCCCCTTTCTGCCTCCCCCACCACTCCACCCTCAACAATACCCCTCCACCATTCCACCCTCAACAATACCCCTCCACCTCTCCACCCTCAATACCTCTCCACCCTAACAATACCCTTTTCACCACTCCACCCTCAACAATACCCCCCAACCTCACCACCCTGAATAATACCCTTCCCACCACTCCACCCTCAACAATACCCTTCCCACCTCTCCACCCTCAACAATACCCTTCCCACCCCTCCACTCTCAACAATACCCACCACCTCTCCACCCTCAAAAATACCGCACACCATTCCACCCTCAACAATACCCACCACCTCTTCACCCTCAATAATACCCTTCCCACCCCTCCATCCTCAACAATACCCCCCACCTCTCCACCCTCAACAATACCCACCACCTCTTCACCCTCAATAAATACCCTTCCCACCCCTCCTCCCTCAACAATACCCACCACCTCTCCACCCTCAATAATACCCTTTCCACCCCTCCATCCTCAACAATACCCCCCACCAGTCCACCCAACAACAATACCCAATCCACCTCTCCACCCTCAGCAATAACCCCAACTCTTCACCCTCAATAATACTCTTCCCACCTCTCCACCCTCAACAATACCCACCACCTCTTCACCCTCAATAATACCCTTCCCACCCCTCCATCCTCAACAATACCCCCCATCTCTCCACCCTCAACAATACCCACCACCTCTTCACCTCAAACAATACCCACCACCTCTCCACCCTCAACAATACCCTTCCCTCCTCTCCACCCTCAACAATCCCACCACCTCTCCACCCTCAACAATACCCTTCCCCCCAATACCCTTCCACCCTCATAAATACCCTTCCCACCCCTCCAGCCTCAACAATACCCACCACCTCTACACCCTCAATAATACCCTTCCCACCCCTCCATCCTCAACAATACCCCACACCTCTCCACCCTCAACAATACCCCCACCTCTCCACCCTCAGCAATACCCTTCCCACCACTCTACCCACAACAATACCTCCTACCTCTCCACTCTCAACAATACCCTTCCCTCCACTCCACCCTCAACAATACCCCCCCCCACACCTTTCCATCCTCAACAATACCCCCCTCTCTCCTCTCCACATTGTACTATTGTACTGTGTCCTCCCAACTGTACTTTGCCTTCTGTCCTTTGAACATGACCAATTTTTTACTCTCAGCAGGGCTGACTGTGTTACAAAGCAGGGGACCACACTGCAGCTTCAGGACTTGGCTGCAACCTACCTACAGGAAGCAGTACTTCCAAACCAGGAGTGCACGCAGTTGACGAACCAGTAAGAACTTTTGTAAGTACTATGCTACAGGGTGGGGGATTGATTGCTCAATGCAATGACACTTTGAGGTTGATTTAGTAAAATTGGAGAGTGCAAAATGTGGTGCAGCTCTGTATGGTAGCCAATCAGCATCTACCTTCAGCTTGTTCAATTAGGTTTTGACAA